CATTGGTCTTCTGCTTTATTTAAAAATAAAACTATGGTCTGTATTGTTGTAATGGAACACAGGAATATGTGTTTTGTATTTCACTCTCAGGTCTCAATTTAAGAAGTTTTACCAGCTAATACATTGTTCATGAGTTTTCTGCCTTAACTGTTGGCTGGCTGTGCCTGGCACTTATGTAAGCATCACTACTTTTTCAGATCCCTTATAGTTATCCAGAGATAAATTCCCCCAACTTACAATTCAAAGCCAAGGTGTTTGCAAGCCACATTTGCTTCATTCATAGTCCACTCACTATCACATACAAAAAAGTCATTCTTTTGATTCACAGGCTTTACTCGAAGCAAAGTTGAATCTCCATGGCCCAAAGAAATTGAAAATGTTTCTAAAAAAAAGAAATAAAAAAACAAAAGAGAAATAAAAAAATCCCCAAATAAACTCATATGATGTAGATGTCTGTACTGGAAAGACAGCCCAGAAACAAACCAGGACTAATTTGCATTGGTAACCAGTTTCATATGGAGGGTAGATTGGGAGTCAGAAGTTTCAGGTATTATTCTGAGGACTGACTTTGTGGCTTTGAGCCTGCCACTTTTTCAAAGGGTACCAGTTTCAGGACAAATGATGGTAACAGCTCCTACCACGTAAGAGTACCTGGAGGTCTACTGAGGAAAGGTTGCATCTTAGTATAATGACTTTCATTAGAGGCCTTTTGATAACCATTAACACTTCAAGTAAGATGGCCAGAACCTCCTTCTGTTACCTGTGTAGCAAAACTTCCATGTTACAGTGGAAGCTAAGCTACTTAGCTTCATTTAGTGAAGCCATACAGAGAGCACACCAGGAACACACAAACGCTCTCCAATCTTTTCAGTGGAATATGCAGAATAAGGTTTTGTCACCCTGAGGGCAGTGGGCTGAGCTGTTGCTTCTGTGGGGAAGGGGAGTGATAGTACCAGGGCAGAGAACAAGCAGGAGAACCCTGGGCTGGGCTTGCTGCTCCTGCTGTGTTCAGTGGCCTGGAGGCTGGAGGACAGGTAGGAACAGCGACAGCTACTGCTAAGAGCCCACCTGCCTATTTAGCAGGAGCTGTTTCTCCCTGCACTTAGGAGTTTGATCTGACACAGCAGCCTGGTGCAGCCGAAAAAGCAGGTGAGAACAGTTGCTTGTCACTGCACAAACTATGATTGGGTTGCAGGGCAATAGCTTTCTATTTCTATGAAATCCACAGCATGAAGATGATAGAGGTGTATACAGCTTGTCTTCTCTCCATGCACTCTCCCATACATTTCAATAGCTTGACTCCATTCTTTGGACTCTAGCTCCTTTGAGGTCTGTCCCTCTCCAAGACACCCTCTCTGCTAATGTTCTCAGCAGGCCTCCTGCTGGGCCTCCCACTATACTCAGCATCCTGTTTGGAAACCTACGAGCTCTGTGTCTGTTTCTTCCCTTTCTACCTGATGATTTGAGCGATCTACCAGCAGCAGCATGACCTGGGCCTTGTCAAATGTTATTAACAATGTCAAGCACATTTTTATGAAAATCAACAGGTATTGCCCATTTTCAATGACTCCTCTTTTTATATTTCATGTTCTTACTACGGCAAGGAAAGCATATCCTTGGCCATGGATGACTGACTGGCAAGGTTTGGGAAAGGAGGTATCAATACCTTCAGATGTGCATCTTCCCTTGTGCAGAAACTTTGCTTCGGGACGTTGACACTCGTAGCTCTTTAGCTGACAGTAAGTGGAGAAGTACTTTCCATTGGTAGAACAAACTGAAGAGCCGTTCTTTGGGCACTGGTAGGGAAGCTTACAAAGGCACTTTCCCTCCACACATCGTTCCCATGGGTGACAAAACACTTTCTCACAGGACTTGTGTGTGTATTGGTTGCTTAAGCATTCTCTTATGAGGTATGTGTCTTGCTCAGCTGGATGGGCAGGCTCAGCCTGCTGAGGCTGGTTTTCTTCAGCAGTAGAAGCTGCATTCTGTAAGGCACAAAATATTAATGAAAAAAGGAGTAAGATTAGGAACTGCAGAGTTCTGCAGATCCCTTTACTGACCTCAACAAAGTGTTCATGCGTTAGCCTTTTCCTCTCTTACAAGCACAAAGGTGCTAAAAACCATTCATACTGTATTTCCTTGTCTTCAGCCACGTAAACTTCCTCTGTTTCTCTGAACTTTTTTCTTCATTTTGGATGATTCACATGGTGTGATCTTCACTCCTACAGCTCTCTCACAAATGTTGTATTCTTTGCAATTCAAACATCAGTTGAAGTGAACAGCAGGCTATAAATATTTTTAAGTCAGTGGTTTATACCACAGCAATGGGATTGTAACCAAATCAAAATAGAAGGGGACTTAAAACCCACAATAATAAAAAAATGGCAACTTTTTTTTTCTGAGAGTTTTTTGTTGGCTTGGTTGGCTTTGAGTTTAAATATCACCTGTAAATAGTTTTATTTTAAAACTAAGTAGTTTACTTAGAAGCAAGTCCAGAAATCTAAAATTAATTACTTGTTTCACTGTGTGACTGATGAAGCAAAAAGTATTTTAAAGGAATTTGAAAATTAAGTGCCTTTCCTTATTAGCTGTTTTCCTGTATCTGGCATAGCAGTGGATTTGTAATGCAATTGATGGTCATCACTGGTCTGCAAGATTCTGACCCTCTATCCAACTGTCCTAGGTGAGTGAATGCACCCACCATGGTGCAGCTCTCTGGTGACTTCATTACTGGCTGGCTGCTTTTGCTCACTCAGATCTATGGATAGGAAGAATGTTGAAACATGAAAAATATATATGGATGAACTTTGTATAAAAAAGGGAGAGAAAGTTAGTCCTGAAATGTGATGTATCAGCTTTGACTGTGTCAACTGAATCAACAGAGCTGAAGTTTAAAGTTCTGAAGAAATCCTGGCCATAGTAAAGTCAGTGGGGATGTTGTTGGGGCAGAATTTAATCCAACAAAACCCCTTTCAATGGTTGTATAATCTTACTAAATTCTTCCTGTTTTTCTCAGGTCAGTAGAATCCAAACTGTGAGCCAGATCTGGCTTGGCATAACTCCCATTTGTGCAACTCATTTCTACTGAATAGGAACAAAAGGTGCTGATTTTTATCTAAGGATTTCTCTAAAAGATGTGGGTCATGCTGAACGCTTGGCCCAGGTGGGCTTTCTGGGATGCTTTGCCAGAAGCGGTTATGCAGTGAACCTCCACACAGTACAATGCTGCCATGTTAGGAGACTAATCTCATTTCTCAAAAAACGGAGGACAGGGAAAATTGCAGCACTATCCTGGGGTTAACCATGTTTGCAAATTGGGTTTAGGATAGGATCATGATTCAAATCTCTTCCAGAAGCCTGTTATCATAAACCCCAGACAGAATAAATACATGAAAGAGAAATCACAAACTTCAAACATTCAAGCTAGGTTATAAGAAATCTATAAAAACCAAACACTATGAAAGGAAACAAAAAACAACCTAACTGGTTTTGCTTTGTAAATTGCTTTTTAATGTTTTTTAATAATAATAATAATAATAATAATAATAATTACTGCAACCAAAGAAAACAAATTCTTACCTCTGATCCACAAAAACAAAAGAGAGACAAGAAAAGCAAGAAAACTGGGACCATTTGCATGATGAAATTTGATCTTTGTAGGCAAATTCCTCTGGTCTGGATTCTTTTGAATGTCAGTTGTTAGATTAATGTTTAATTTTTAACCATTAGTAAAATATTTTAAAGTGTGTTTAGAAACAAAGGACAGGAGCCTCGACTATTAACTGATAAATCTGATCTCTCCAAAAGGATCCTGCTGTAGTTTAACTGCTTTTACTGTAAGTGCAGACGGGATAACAAAAGTAAAGTCCTTCAAGTAAATGATTAAAAGGAAGCACACACATTTCCTTTCTTTTGCCTAGGAGACTGATCAAATCATCATGCTGATTCTCCTGATTGTAGACATTCCTCTTTGCCAGATTCTACTCTGCTCTTGTGAGACCCCACCTGCAGTACTGTGTTGAGCTTGCGTTGGGTCCCCAACACACGAGGGATATGGAGCTTCTGGAGCGAGTCGACGCTACGAAGGTGATCTGAGGGCTGGAACACCACTCCTATGACGACGGCCTGACAGAGTTTGGCTTGTTCAGCCTAGAGGAGAAAAGGTAGCTCTGGGGAGACCTTGTACCAGCATTCCAGTACCTGAAGAAATCTGGAGAGGGACTTTTTACAAGGGCATGTAGTGAATGGCTTTAAACTGAAAGAGGGCAGATATTAAGAAGAAATTCTTCCCTGTGAGGATGGTGAGACATAAACACGTTACCCAGAGAAGCTGTGGCTGCCCCATCCCTGGCAGTGTTCAAGGCCAGGCTGGACAGGCTTTGAGGAACCTGGTCTAGTGGAAGGTGTCTCTGCCCATAGCAGGGAGGTTGGAACTAGTTTTAAGGTCCCTTCCAACCCAAACCATTCTGTGATTATTGTAAAAGATGTGTTTTTTATATAGGAGAGAGATGTTTTCATCTATGTGGAAACACATCCATGTAATACTGACAAACTCATGCGATAAGGTCATATTACACGATCCATGTCGGGAATTTTCAAGTACTGGACAAACACCTGAAGTACTCTTCTTACACTCGGTTTCCAGGACACTGTGGTTAAAGCCAGCAGGACCGAAGTCTCCTCCCATGTCCCTGCATAGCCAGCAGGGGCTCACAGGCAGCGGCTCTCGCTCGTCCGCCCCGGCGGGCTTTGATAAACGCCGTGCAAGAGCCGAGCCTCCACAGGCCTCCCGCCTGAATCCACCCCACTGCGAAGCGGCTCTGAGCACCCTGGATATGGGGAATCCCCACCCGCGAGCGGAACCGGACGCACACCCCCCCGGCCGAGCCAGACTCCCCCCACAGCCACAGCGGCCCCTGCTCGCGACGATGGCCTACTTTGCCTACTTTATTGCGACAGTGTCGCTCAGCGAGGCAGCTTCACTTACGGCAGGCAGCCTCGTTTACGGTGGTGTGGGTAGTGTTCCGGCGGTGGTGCGCGGTATTAGAGGAAGTGGCGGGGCTGGCGCGCACGTGGAGGTACTGCATGAGCGGGGGGAAAGCGGGGAGAAGCCACACGGGACAAAGCCGTTAACGGCTGGTGGGCTTTCCTCAGCCCCTCTCGTGCCCCGCAGCACTAAGGGGCGGGCTGCGTCGCACTGCGGGCGGGGGTCCCTTCACCATGTTCCCGCATAGGCATTCCAGTATGCAGGCCGCAGGAGGTGCCCTGCGGGCCCGTGAGGTGCTGTGGGTGCATGTCGTTACCGTAGAATTGTAGAATGGTTTGGGTTAGGACCTTAAAATCATCTAATTCCACCCTCACCCCCCACCCCCAGTTATGGGGAGGGACACCTTCCACAAGACTAGGTTGTTCCAAGTCCCGTCCAGCCTGGCCTTGAGCATTGCCAGGGGTTGTACTGCTGCGCCTCTGGGCTGGGCCTGGAAAGCTGCTGTCTCCTCCAGGGGCTGTGGCCTGTCGCGTTCACCCCTCGGCCACTCAATCCCTGTATGATTGAAAAGCACGCTGTCACTGCTGGTCAGTTTTTAGCGGTAGGCATTGCATTTTAAGCTTGGTGTAGGCTAGGGTTTTCATGCGCCTGACTGTTTTTGTTGAGGACTGAAAGGTCTAACGATTACATTAACAAACAGGCTCAGGAGACTTAATTTGTACAGTAAAACACAGTTGAAGTATTTTTTATCTCTTATTTTTGTCACAATTTAGGAGGTAGTAGAGAATGTCTTTTCGTGGAAGAGGAGGTGGAGGAGGAAGAGGAGGCGGCTTCAATCGAGGAGGAGGAGGTGGTGGTGGTGACAGAGGTGGCTTTAATCGTGGTGGACGAGGTGGCTTTGGACGGGGAGGTGGACGAGGAGGCTTCAACAGAGGCGGATTTGACCAGGGGCCTCCGGAAAGTGTAGTTTGTAAGTTACATTGAAAGGCTGTGTTTACGTACTTCAGAATGACTGCTCCAGATCTTTAGCTTGCTTGTTCTTTATTTCAGTACTGGGAGAGTTCATGCATCCCTGTGAAGACGACATTGTTTGTAAATGTAAAACAGAAGAAAACAAGGTGCCTTATTTCAACGCTCCCGTGTATCTGGATAATAAGCAACAGATTGGCAAAGTGGATGAAATCTTTGGACAGCTGAGGGATTTTGTATCCTTCAAAAAAATGTGTGATGTACAATATTTTGTTTTAAAAGGCTGCTTGGTTGTAGGATTTAAAAATAGTTGAAGGCTTGGCTACCAGTTAGATGTGAACAGTCACAAGTCTAGCTGCAACTGTTGGTGTCAGTAGGTGCCTTATGCACATTAGGTGCCTATCATAAAGCTTTTTCAGTATGATAGAGTACCTTATATCAGTCACAACCAGTACTGGCAGATGTCTTTTGGATCCATTGTGGTTCAGGGTGTTTCTTATGTGACTACCAACTTTTCTTCTGTATCTTACCTATAACAGAGTTGGACCAAGGGACTGGGGTTGTTTTTGTGCATTAGGGGACCTTGCTCATGCTCCAGTTTACTACTTAATTATAAAGTTGAGTTTGTGCTAGGGTGTTTTATTGCTCATTGTCCAGTTTCTTACTTAAACTGCTAATAAAGGTGGGCTTGTGCTGAGATGTCCTCTTGCAAAGCTGGCTTGTTGAGATAGAGTCACTGGGTCTACCCAGTTGTCATTGCTAGATTGACAGAATTCATGACATAAGTGGGACAGTGGGATGTAACCCTGTAACGTCAGTAAGTCTTAGCCTGTGTTCGGTGAGTATCAGTAACTAGGTACATGCATTTTCCTCTACCACAGTAAGTGAGAAGTAAAATATACAGGTTTAAATCACTTGCTCTCTGAATGTATTAATTTGCAGATTTACTTTTTGTATCAAAATTATGTGGATTTCAGATACTTGTTTTCTTTCTACAGTAACATATTATGAAAATGCGTTACTCAATTTTGCAGTAACTTCTTGCTGCTCCATTTAATCTTGAGTTTTAAGTAAGAAGAGTTGGCCAGCAGCTCTTTTGATCCTAGGAACTGCATACCAAAGTCTTTGGGTGCTGGAGTGCTAAAAGGGCTTCATACAAGAATGCACATGGGGTTCCAGAGTGTCTGTCACCTCACTGGGATGAGGCTGGGCATATGGTTGCTCTGGCAGGCCTTGCTGGCTCTTATTTTTCCACAGCCTGGCAGTCATCCCACCCAGCAGCAGCACTAGCAGAGCTCCTGCAGCATGAGCCTTGAGGTCACCCTGGGTTGTTCCTTGCTATACAAATTTGCTTCTTTACAATTCTGTTTTTATGTGCTCTTTGCACTGGATGTGTTCCTTACGCTTTAATCATGGAAAATAAAAATGGTTTTACCAGAAAATACTGTTTTTGTGACTGTGAAAAGATTCTCAGAAAAATTAAAGGTGTTTTCTCCTTAATTGTAATTTTTCATTTGCAGTGGTGACGTTTAGCTTTATTTATAAAATACTAATTTAGAGAATGTTTGAATGTGCCAATCAAAATAACAAATTTTTTTTTTTTCCCCTGTTACATTCCTTAAAGAAACTAACAGTATTTTTCAGTGAAACTGTCGGAGAATATGAAAGCCTCTTCATTTAAAAAAATGCAAAAGGTTAGCCAATCTCAATAACGGAATGCTATTGTATGTCAGGTGGAAAAATCTACTCTGTTGCAAGATAATGAAAGCTTTATGAAGCTTTTATTAACAGCTAGTTCTATGTAAACATTAATTTCTTCTTCTTTCTCACTTTTCTATCTGCCGTGTTGTTTCTTCTCCCTGCCCTGCAAAAAAACAAAGATGTTACAAATGAAACTTATGTAAATATCATCTATATTTTAGTAACTTTATAACACTGTGATTCATTTCTTGTGTTCTTTCTTTATTTGACTGTTTGCAGAGGAAAGTTTGACATAAAAAGTTAAGACCAAATTGTGGATATTTGTAAAGGGAGATATTAATGTGCTCTTTAGTATTTGTATTTTCAAAGTCTAAGTGAACTGTCTTCCTACAGTTTTACATTGACCCAGCAAAGCTACTACCGCTTCAGAGGTTTTTGCCAAGGCCACCTGGAGAAAAAAGTGCTCCCAGAGGAGGTGGTAGAGGAGGACGTGGTGGTGGACGTGGAGGAGGAAGAGGTGGTGGCAGAGGTAAGATCTCAAGAATGGAAGCTGCAGAATGTTGTGGGTTTTTTGTTTTGGGGTGGGTTGTTTGAGTTTCTTTTGGGTTTTTTACCTTTTTATTGGGGGGGTGGTGTAAAGCTGCAGTTGAATACTTGAATATCAACAGTAGTATTGCAAAGAAAAATGTTATGCATATTCTTGTTTAACTCAATGGAAGAGACATTGATGCCCTTCCAATGGCAAGACCTAGGTTTCTGTAGCTAAATAACAGCTCCAAAGCATAGGGGGGAGAGTTATGCTGATACGAAACAAAGACAGAAAGCGTGGCTGCTGAGCAAACTTGCGCTTAAAGGCTGTAGATAATAAACACTTGAAACTGTAAGCAAAATCTGTATTTGTAGTATGTTCTAGTTTTGACAAATACTTGAAATGCATTGTTTGAGAGAGATGTGAATGACCTGGTAGATTTCATTCTTCTTTGCTTTTTGGAGATTATTTGCCATGTGCTCCTTGATTAAAGCTGAAGTTAATTTTTTCTAACATCACAGTGTTCTGCATCTTCTCACTACTCTGCCCCTTTGCAGCAAGGCACAAGTATCTCAAGGTTGTTTTGGTTTTGTTTGTTTATTTTAATATTCTGTTGAGTTTTAGTTAATAATTATTAATGAATAGTTGTGATTATTTATTTTCTCTTATGAAAGAAAAGTTTTGTTAGTGTCTGGAGTATTTTGAACATGGTATACCAGATATTAAACAATACTTAAAATGCTGCAGATGGTCCCTAGGAGAGACAAAGTACCAGTAGTTGACCTGGTAACTGTCCAGCAATTGACTGTTTTTTCTTGTTGTTGTGCTTTTCCTTTCAGAAGATGTGAATAAAATAAGTTGTTATGCTTAACAAAGAATTTATATGCTCTTCAAAGTATAATTTCTTTCCTATGTCTAGGAGGATTTGGAGGAGGAAGAGGAGGAGGAAGAGGTGGAGGAAGAGGAGGAGGAGGGTTCAGAGGAGGAAGAGGTGGAGGAGGAGGAAGAGGTGGAGGAGGATTCAGAGGAGGAAGAGGTGGTGGAGGAGGCTTTCGGGGTGAGTGTGTGTTTTTTACATTTCAGTAGTAAGAATGGCTCCTGATTTCTAAAGCTTTTAAATATTAAACAGGATGTTGAATTTTTAATCTCTTACAGATGTTTATAGTTCTATGTAAAATGTTTTTGTGCATCACAGTATCTAGTTTAAACTGAAGCACAGAATTTGATGCATTTTTGATGTGTGTATAAGACCATGTTAGTTTTTTGCATTCGAAAGGACTATGAGAGTAGGTAATGTTCTGTTATTTTATTCTGTCAACTCATTTACTGTTATGTGTATAATTTATTTGCTTTAAATGCATCTTGTCTAAGATGTGAATTGTTTGTTCTGTTTCTCTTTCCTTTTAAAACAGGAAGAGGATATTAAACATGGAACCACGAATATCTCCCCGCTGTCTTAACACATCATCTGCGTAAGTGAAGAACAAGGAAAAAACTTTCTAAAGGACCTTGAAAAAGTTCTTTTTATGAAGAACTTGAAGCTGTAAAATATCAGTTATTTTTACACTTAATGACTGTTGATCGACACTTGAGGAGAGCATAGCTCCAGGCAAAGAACTGAAGACTCTTCAGAATATACTTGGACTTTTTCAACTAAGCCAAGATTCAGTGTTGTCCTTAAACTGTTTGTTTCTGAGGAGTAACGTAGTCAATGCTTAACTTCATGTTGGAGTTTGGAGTAAACAATCAGTTGAAATGTTTTTTGAAAACACTTTACAGCTTCACTACATGCGCATTCATCAATAGGAACCTGTTACCTATGTGTGACTGATCCCTAGTTCTCGTCCTCTTTTTTTTATATTGAATATTCTGTGTTGCTCTAAGGTGGACATGCCTTCTAAGCAGCCTTTATGAACCTTTTTTACAAACTAAACTTCAGAATTTTGTGTTGTTAAAATTTGTTCATATGTAATTATGTGTAAAAGGAAAGGAAGATAGTAAAGGATATTTTGTGGATTTTTCTGTGTAAATGTCAATGAAAGCCAAACACATTAAGACATCTTCTTAAAAGTTGCTGACTAGTGAATAAGACAAGGTTTATACTGTTAAGTCACCTAATTATGTCTAATTGTATGGATATTAAAATTGCTGAGGGTTTTTAACTGGTCTCACCTCCCGCCTTAGCCTGTTTCTCCAAAGGTTTTGGTGTCCTGGCACTGCACCTCTTTGGTGCACTGAGCTTGCACAGGTCTAAGATTAGATAGCCCATCACAGGGCTCCTCTGCACACTGTGATTTTAGTTAAGCATTCCTTAAAAGAGACATGAAAAAGTCTGCACGAGTCTGGTCTCTTTAGTTGGATGCATTATGAGAACTCCTGAAAAGCTGGTAATTGTCTCTTAATGATGGAAGAGAAGAAAGTTCTTTTCTGCTCTTTTAACTTTGGAAATGAAATAATAGGAAAGTAGAACCACCTTGGATTTTATACAGAGCCAGGAGTCCATTCATACTCTCCTACCAAGCACTTCTAAAAAGGGATCTGTAGAATAATCTACATGAAGGTATTTTCAACATCTTGTGGAAAGTAGTAGATTTCAGAATTCATTGTGCTGTTACGCTTTTTAATGAATGCAGTAACAGGCAGATGAGTTATGTTAGCCTTCTGCTTAATAAAAACAACCAGGTAATTTGTCAGAACCAGGATTGGCCAGTTATTGGTCATTTTAACAAACTCGACTGTTAGTTTGAATAGTCTCTGGAACAAAACTTGATGTGAAGTAGCAAAGCAAATGTTCAAGAATTCAATGAAGTCTGAACAGATGTTGCATAAGGTAGTAGATAAAAATGTTACCAGCTTGAAAAAAACGCCGAAACACCGATTTCTGCTAGATCTGTTTTTGTGAGGTGAAACCGAAGTCTACTGTTCAACCACAGTACAATCAGGAATTGAGGGGTAGTGATTACATTCCTGGTATTGCTACAGACTTAACTTCAGGTCAGTTTAAATCAAGACCTCTGGAAATGTTTAGGCTTTTGTTGCTGTGTATGCTAGGCCTGGGTGACTTGGGCTCTGAGTTAAGGTATTGTAGACAGAATCCTATTGCATCTCTGGCATACCAACTTGCAGTTGAACAATACCAACCTGCAGTGAAGCTGGAATTGTCGCTACTTTTGTGATACTTGTTCTTGCGTCCTCTGTTGTGCTGAGGATGCTCTGCACTGATGCTTCTATAGCTAGCTGCAGGTAGCTGAAGCTGACTTAAATCTTTCCTTACTTTTCTGGCTGTGTAAGACTAACATGACACGGTGCTCAATCCTACACCCAAATTCATGTTCTGCTTTGCTATTCTCATGCTTTAGGGACATCCTTTTTCTCGCAACATCAGTAGACTACTGTCATAACTTTTAAATTGCATGGTGTGACAGCTGACTTTTCAATTGCATGAAGGTCCATCTTTCAGCCTGGGACAAGAAGTGTATGCTTCGAATCTCACAGCAGATGGAGCAGTGAGTCAGCCTAAGCTGTTGCAAGGCCAAAGCAAAGACTTTTATATCTCTCTGCAGAGGTGTTAAAGAGCAGTATCTATTGCTACTCCAGAGGGAGGATCAGACTTGCTTATAGGGAACTGGATTGCAGCCCCAGATGAGAAATGCATGAGGAGCACTATGGCATGCCCTGTGCATACAAACAATGTTGGATGGGATTAATACAAATATCCAGAAGTTTATAATCTTAGATCTTTGCAGAGGTTGTAGGACATTCAGATGGTAATGGAAAAGTGTCTATAGTGACTGGGTGTGAAATGAGCTTCCCCATAATGGGGAAGGATCATGTTTGGTTGTGGCAAGGCCCATCTAGTCTCTGGTCCCTGTTCTGCCTTGTTTTCTATGCGCCATGGCATGACCCTGTCCTCCTAATGCAAGTAGCTGCTAAGTGTAATAGATGAAAATTCAGTACTTTCAAAAAATTAAGGCATGTTTTGTGTGCAGTGGGATGCTGCAATGAACTAACTAATACAGGTTCTCAATTTTATATGACTCCTTCCCCTGTGTCTTAAAATTTTTTATTCAGTTCCTATCCAATTCTGTCGCTGTGCTCCCAGTCCTAGGAAGTGAAGTGTTTGAGTGTTATATATGTGCTGACAGATATCCTAGGCTTTTTGTGCAGAGAATAGGAATGGTGGGCTCACCAGTACCTTCAGAAATAGGTATGTTGGCAGAAATAGGAAGTTTCAAGTAGCTGTAGTGTCTAGGGGAAAAAAAGTCGCAGTGCAGTCTACTGAAGCGGATGGGGGAAGGTGTTGGTGGCAGTTTGGGCTTTCAAAGACAGTTTGGTGTTCCTTGTATTTCCCCTCACTGTCAGCCTTTGTGGCAGATGGCTGGGCCACCTAAAGAACTCCTCACCTCCCACTGCTGCAGGAGCATGAGGGGGGTTGCTGTTCTGCAATACTCTGAAGCTCAGGAAGAAGGCAAGCCTCAGAGCACCCCAGGACACAGCAATAGTGGTGTCACCTACCTGTCTTCTTGTCTGCTTGTCAGTGTCTGTGTGTGCTCACTGTTGGCAGAAGCACAGTATTCAACAACCAAATCCTGTTTTCAAAAGGCAGTTGCAAGTGAACATGTTAGCCACTGCAATATTTGACCCAGGCATAGGGTCTGACTTCCAGCTGATCTTGAAGTGACAGCTAGTTAATCACTAGGGTCAGATTGCTTAAAGGTTTTTTTGAAGACCTCGTGCCTTTTGTCCTTGCCAAACTAAAATTCTGGTTTTGTATCTTTTTCACCTAGGATCTAGATCCTGTGAAGCAGAGGGAAATACATGGAGGTGTATTGTAAAGCTTAAATTACTGCCCATGGAGAAAGCTTTAGTGCCTCTGCATTCCTATTTGGAGGGATGTTTTTAAACCATGCGTTTTCTGCAGTTGCTGGGGTAGGATGGTTCAATATAGTTCATAGAGTTGCTGTGTTACTTTGATGGAGAAATTTGATGAAGTGTGGAAAATAATTGGGATATTTTAATGTATGTCTGCAGCACTGGCTGTTGTAAACCAGAAGGGATTCTCTAGCATTGACACGGAATTATGGACATTTGCCTGAAGCCATGCTGGATAGTCAGATACATACTGGTGCAAAGTTATTTGCAATTGTACAAAGCATTGTCTTGGCAAGAAACAGTGTTGTCCTAACAAAAAGCATCGCTCCTGCGTGAAGTATGACAAGTAAAAAGCTTTATGGAGTCACGTATTTTTCAGGGTGTTTTCTTTAATCGGCTGAGAATCTCTTTAGACCCGGACTTTTCTAATCAACAGTTTAAATCTAGTAAAAGCCTCTCTCTGTGAGGAAGGAAAAAATACTTGTTTGTTTTCCACTGAGTCTGAATCATTTGCATCTGAAAACAAAATTAAAGGGAAGTTCTGCCTCATAGAGCCCTCTAGTGGTGATGTGCTTAATAAACATGGGAGGGTTTGGTTTGGGTTTTTAATGTGGTTCTCTCTGAAAATAGGAAAGAGGGTTTGGTTTGGTTTGGGATTTATTATTCTTAATGCAAATGGTAAGTTTCTCTACTCTCATCACTTGTGGGTTGAAATATACTTTACGCATAACCAAAAGCAACTTGCTAAACGCTGTCATAAGTTTTGCATTGCCCATATCTATATAGATACTTAAATACTGAGGAATGACTTATATAGAAGTTGTGTTTTGTCGCTATTGATCTGGGACAAGTGGGAAGTAAAAGCATCATTTGAGGTTATAAAATGTCCCTCTGACACTAGTATTGCTGTCTGTTATTGGAGGATAAAAACTGCCTGAGGTTTTGGATTTTATTTTTCTTTTCTTATGCCAATATTAAAAAGCAATGTGGTAAGCCATATTTTGTCTGTCTTAGAAGTTGTGGTTCAAACTTTGTGGATTATTTATATACTTCAGTATTTAACTCCTTTATCTTCTTGGCTTGTTACATGAACTGCAGTGTTCTAGAAAAAACTATTAGGTTAATGATAACTAATGCCTACCTTTAATTTTTACTTTTTTCTCCTAATTGTTGTTGCTGTAAAATTAGTCAAATTTGAGAGACGAGGAGATGGAGACAATATGGTGGTGCATGGGACAGACTGCACATTTAGAAACTTGTGTTTTAAGCGACAAGTATGTATAAAATCTGTAAGGTCTGATTAACTGCTACTTTAAGTCTGGAATTCTGTCTGAACAATAATAGTAGTGCTTTATGTTGATGAGACGTCCAGCATTGTAAGCTCTGAGATGCTTTTGAAAATCTTGCCAAAGTTTTAGGGGAGGAAAGCAAAAATATCAAATTATCACTATGCTTTTATCTTTCAAGGCACTAGGGAAGTGGCTTCATTGCCAAACAGATCATCTTTCCTTTCAGAACCCTCCCACCCTGTTCCTGCCTAATCCTCTTCTGAAAGGAAAAGTACTGTAATAATACAAGTACCCTGAGAACTGTGAGTGTAGATCTGTGGCATTAAAGGAAACGTTTGCTGCTAGAATGGTGACATATGATCAGCTGTAGTAATGATGACTAAATGCCATGACAGCACAAGTTTAGTATCAAACTTTTCTTACCTTTAGATTCAGATGGATGAAAGATGCAGGATGTCTGTTTTGGAAAGCTGAGGAGTGGGAGGGAATGCTTTATGAGTATTTAATGGGTTAGAGAAGGGAGAGCTCTTCAGTTATACTTCTTTTCTGTGTAATGGCCATATTCTTCAACACTGTCTGTGTCACCACATCCTTACTGCTGATCAGAAGACATGACCTAGTTTGGGAACTTGCTTGAGCTGCCTGTGGGCCATGTACCACTCAAGAACTACCCGTTACTCATTCTTGTCATTTTTATACCCAGTATGAGTTCAAAACTGGAGACAAAAACTGTATGAAGGGGAACTGGTGGAAAACACCTTAGATTACTTATACTGATACTGCATATAAGCTGTTCGGGCAAGGGTTTATTGCACCTAATATTTATGCAAGATTTTGTAAAAGGTCTTTACTTTGTTGTGCTGCTCATCATTGAAGAGAACATAAGCTTCTGCTGCCCAAGGCTTTGGAAAATATATAATAATTTTCTGCCCAGTAACCCTAACCCTAACCCTAACCCAGTAACATGCTTTGGGAAATTTGCCCAAAGTAAGCTTATGTGTGTGTGTGTGGGAGAGGGAGAGTATTCAGACTGGTAAGACATGTTCAACAACTGTTTTCTACACACCATGCTATTTTAGAAATGCAGCAACTGAGTTTTATGAAAGTCATGCTTCACTTCAGGAAAATATTAGACTGTGTTTGTCTTGTGTCTGTGTCAGCTTGAGGGTTTAAATCAAGCTGAGAATCTTGAAGAAGTAGGTCTTCAAGGCTTTGAAGGCATGTGATTTAGGGTGAGTGTATCTGCTTTTAAAAAAAGTCAACATTGTGTCTTTATGTTGAGCTGTGGTTTTGTGTATTCACTGTGATGATGGGAGTTAATTCCAAGGCAGGCTGACAACCAACTGACCTGATTCAGCTTTTATTGAGGTTTCTGAAACATTGCACAAGAGGTTTGAAGGAAAAAGTTTGGGAGCATGTGACAGTTAATCTCTTTAGCAGTAAGAATGAAGTTTAAGCATACTGTTGGAAACACACTCAGGTCTGTGCTGCTCTTTGTTTTAATTAACAATCTCCTGCATAGATTGGGAGTGTAAACTTACTTGCACTTTAGTCCAATTAAATTGTGCTTGGAGGCTGTCAATGGTGGGGCGAACTCCCTCCTACCCCCCCTTTTTTAATTGTTCAGTAAGTCTGTTGAATAGTGAAAGAATTTCCCTGGCAGGGTTTTTGTAGTGTTTCCTCGTCTTGATGAATTATTGCAGAGGGTAGGCGACAGTCTCTTTTGTTCAAAATGCATTGGAATGATTCATCCAATTCCTCAGAAAGTGACAATGAAGCTCATTCAGCCTTTACACAGACTGAGCACAACGTAGTTGCAGCTTACTTAATCACAGCAGGTATGGGTATTGGCAAATTGTTGCATAGCTGTTTAAAATACAACTGTAGTTCTGAATGTTCATTTTGTATAGTAACAGAGATGGTGTTTCATTTCGTATTGCACAAATGTTTGATGGCTTTTCTCCATGGTTTACTGACATGTTAGCAGGCTGACTGAAGTGTGCAGAAACATCTAAATTTTCTGCTCTATATTTGAAGGCAACATTGTGTGTTGAAAAATTAATTTTGTTCATATGTAATTATAGAAGAGAGTAAGAATTAATTTATGCCAGCTTGCAAAAGGGATAAAAATAGGACATAGCTGTCACATCTTGCATTATTCTGTGATGTGCTTGAAGCTATCTTGAGATTCCTCCTGGGCCACATGTTTGTAGTAATATATGTGTAGTCTGAGCATGTGAGCGGGTGTCTGTTAGGGGGATGTAAGGGGAAGGGTTGGAATGTGACTTAGAGGGAGGGAGCTGGTCATTAATCACAGAAGAGCAGACTCTGGTTGCAGCTGTATTTTTCACCAATGACACATGTTAGAAAAAGCACACTGAAAGGCTTGACATTGTGTTCGTTCCCCGTGACTGCAATGGCCTTTGGCTAAACTTGAATAATTATGTTTGATTTCCCCCTCACCCCCCTTCTCCTTGAAAACTTTCTCATTGTTATAATCATAACTGCTTCAGTAATGTTTTGTTTTGTTTTGTTTTTTAAGCTTTGAGAGCTATAGCAATGAAATATCAAAGTGACCAAAACCTGAAACTTACTGTCTTTAAAAATAGGCCTTCTATATCTTTATTATGGAAAATCAGATCAGTTTATAAATACTTTTTTTTTCTTTCCACAGGCTGTACCATACATTTTCTATGCTATTATTAGCTTTTAAAATACATTAAAATATTAATGGACTTTACATGAAATAGTATTGTGGAAGGTCTCATTTTATTTAGCATATCTATTTGAAGTGGTATTAAAGTAATGTTCTGGTTAAAGGCTATTTTTGAATGCAAAGGCAATAATTTATTTCCAATTTTTAGAGAAATTGCTAGAACAGCTACACAGAATAAGTAGACTTGTTATGAAGCTGTAGAGATGAATTATGGTCATGTATTGGAAGGCTAGATACACTGCAGTACTGCAACAGTATTTACAGGTAACTGGAACTATTATGTGCTGCAGATACATATGGTATTTGTTATATTTTAATTTAAATTGGTTAGATTGTATGCAACAAGGTGGTCTTTTCAGATAGCTTGGTGTTAGGGATCAAAGCTATCATAGGTGATCAATGGGAATAGCTACAATCGACCCAGCTCTTCTTCCTTAACCTTACAAGGAAATTAAATGTTTCTAAAAAAGCAAACAAAAAGTTGGATTACTTTTTGTTTGTTTGTTTTCCTCTTATAATTGCAGGAGTCTAGTAACTCACCTGTAGGCTGGACTTAGCTTTCTTAATGAGGAATGTTTTTGACAGTAAGCTCTATAACATCTTTGAAAGTATGATTAATTGCATTGCAAATGCCTTGCTACCACAGATCTCACCTCTGGAAAATTTAAGCCGTGCTAGTAAACAGATGTCTAAGAATAAGAATGAAGCACAGGTACAGTGTTCATCATTATGTTGCTTTTTAAAAGGTTTGAATTCTTCTGCAAATAACTGCTTCGTTTTCTGAGAATGAAGTAATTGCTGAGTATTGCACTTTACAGTGGTTAGTGTATTCTAGTGATGACCACAAGGATACTCAGGCTGCAGGAAGCAATACTACTTCATGGACATCTTTCATCTTACAATGGTGAAATGCTCTGGTATCATTTTAAAATGCTCACTAGAAAAGTAAATTGTGTCATACACAGACCTAACGTTCATTGTTTTGATGCTACTACATGTGTCTTGCTTAATTAACTTTGTTAGGGCTTTTATTTACATTTGTTCTGCCTTTCATTTTCGTTGCTTCCCTGGGAAGGAGGAAAGTAAATTCTTCTGCTCTTGATCAGGTTATGAGGCTTTTATCTTCAACTTCCTAAAGCTACAAGGTTTATTTAAAGAAATGTGGGAATAGTTGTCTAACCCTAAGATGCTTCACAGGCCAAGTGGCAGCATCCACGTGTTGTATCTGAATAACATGAGTTTGTCACAGTTGATGATTTCAGGTTACTGAAAGTCTTGACCTTGATCTGCACTCCCTACCCTCTAAGACTGGGTCCTGAGGCATAGGATTTAACTGTGTCTAGCAGGATCTTCACCCTGAGCATACAAGTTTATAGCCCTGTTGTATTTCTGATTTCATTCTTGGTAGCTGTAGTATATGTTAAATCATGCCTCACAGGGAGCCTGTGCTGTTTTATAAAGTGGTAGTTCTATTTTGTGAGATGACATACTACGTGTCAACTTGAAAACTGACAGAACTGGCACTGCAAGTGCTTTTACTGTGTGTTGGTTTCAGATCAGATCCCCAGCTCCTTGCTTTTTTGCATTTTAGGGCCTCACAGCATCACCCTCCTGAAATGTGTGACTATATGAATATGACAGATGATGACATCTATGTGGCTATGCACCTCCAGCATCGTCTGCCATGTAAAGTTGCACCAGGCAGGAGACTTGCAGAGCAGACATGCTTGGTGGTTTTAAAGAGAGAATGGAAAGAGAGACAACCAATAATTATTTACATTTTTGCTACATTTTATTTAAATTACTGAATCTGTTATGAGAGTTTCTGTAATGTAGGAGACTGGTATTGGTTAATACAATGTTGCAGTGAAACTCACTGTGTGAGTTTCAGGTATAATAAAAAGGGTACATGTTTATACAAATGAAATTGAGAAATTCCATTTAAAGGATGAAGAATTGGTGTTGTCCTTATTGTCTGTTACATAAGAATCATCTTTGTTACATTTTTATGTATGTTACAGAAGGCTTTCATTCTGCCCTTTTACATAGCTGTCATGTCTTGCTGAACATAGTGGTTCAGATGGTACTTCTGATGTGTATTTGATGCAGTGGGGTGTGTGCTGTTATTATAAATCTATTTATTGTGTTCCCATGGACTGCCAAGGATGGAGTCCACAGGACTTCCCATGCTTTAAAAGAATTTTCATGCTTTGAAGGAATTTTCTTCAAAATTCAGCTGTACAGCTGAAGTACTTGAAACTGATTGTTGCACTCAGGTTTCTAACCTTGCTGATTTGAGGTTACTGTTTGAACTGCAGCATGTTTGTAGTCTGTGCATAAACTGATGTTAGGGATTTTTAACTCTGTGCTGTGCCATTGACAGTGACAGAGATGAAAGAACATTGTATAATACTTACAAACCTTACTGCCCTTTCCACAGAGGCATGTCACAAAAGCTAAAGTGTGTGTGTCAGGTTTTTGGTGGAGTCAATAGAGAAGCAGAAATCCCATCAGTGAAGGTGATGGCCAGCAAACTGGAGCAGGATGGGCAGTGGCTGTGAAAGAAGATGGGTCTGCTTTTGGAAGCCTACATTCAGTATGACAGCCTCAAGCTGATCACAGAATTATGCCTCCAGTCTGTGATGATGAAAACTACAGTGTTTTGATTCATAGGTGAAACTTCTTACATAAAAATGAACACCCCCCTCCCCCCCCAAATCCCACAAAACAACCCCCCTGAAAAATTTTAAGGGTCATTTCCATGGATAACCTGTTGTGTGTTGTTAGACTTTTAACAAAATAATTCCATTTGTTCATTTAAGGTGCCCAGGCTATACAAATGTTTGTAAGTTTAGGATTTGGTTCAGTGACCCTGTAACAGCTATGTCAAACTACAGGATCTCTGAACAACTCACAGACTCCTGTTATTTACAAGTTATTTTTTAATGGCTGTGTTTGCTTGAGCATGCTGGAATTCTTCATTTTATTGATAAGAGCGTAACTGGAAAAGTTTTTCTCTGCTTGTCAGGTGTCTATCTTCTTCACAAAATTGCACTTGACTGAAATTATCATTTGTTTAGGACATAGATACTCCAATAGGCTATATTTTCTTCTGCATGTATATTACTGGCTGGTGGGTACCTTTGGTAAATTTCCCTTTTTCTGTTTTTACAGGAGTGGTAAGCATTTTCAGTAATATTGTTGTTTTGGGCATCTTTGTTAAATACAAAGAGCTTCGGACAGCAACCAATGCAATTATTATCAACTTGGCTTTTACTGACATTGGTGTTAGTGGCATTGGTTACCCCATGTCTGCTGCCTCAGACCTGCATGGAAGCTGGAAATTTGGATATACTGGATGCCAGGTATTGCAATTAAGTCAGAGAGAAAGTTTTGAGCACTTAAAAGCAAACTGAGAAATAAGCAGTAGCTCAGCCTCGTATTAGTTCTTTCAAGAGAGAAGATGGAGATGCAGAGTTTGACTCTAGACCTAAAGCTGATGTTCTGTCATGTCAACAATGTCTGGATATAGGATTTTGCATGTGATTTTCAAAGTGTAACATTATATTTATCAACTAGAGATTTGAAAATAGCTTTAAGAAGACTTAGGAAACAAAATCCCCAAATGAAGAAGTTTATAGTAATACATGCACATTTGATGACTTATTTGATAATGAAAAGAATTTGGATGTGACTACAGTTTTGATTATGAGTTTGACAGATCTTAATGAGTTCTGCCTGACAAATACGTGTTCTTTCGGATTGCGCTATTAGGATATCCAAAATGAAGGCCTGCAAGGCTAAGGCTAAGATTTAGCTTAGTTTTAATAGCTGTCTATTTTTAAAAATAGTCTGACTGAAAAATTACACTTCCAGAGCAGAGACATGGTGCCCTTTGCTCTGAGCTGTGATTTAAATCTCAAGTGTCCATGAAAATAGGTAGTAGTATAAAGGTGTGTACTGAAAATGTGAGTCAAGAAAACCATTAGCAGCAATACACATTTCAGACCTTTATATAATGGATATTTATAATAATCAGAGTTCACTTGCCTGACTCATTTCAGGTTCAAAATTCAGTTACTGTTTGACAGGAAGCCTCACTTAACATCTTTGTATCTAGGCTATCTTGTAGCGGGTTGAAGTTGATGTGAAATCTCAGTACAAATGGTCTGGGAGTTCACTCGACACACGACTCCCATCAATCTAAACCAAATGAATCTTGTGAACTGAGATGGTTGAATGTCATGTAGTTCTGTCATAACCACTGTTGGTATGTAATCCGGCACAGGGCGCTATGTTTCTTGGGTGCCAGTGCTAACACAGCCTTCCCAGTTTTCCTTCCCTGGTCTCACTGCCCATAGGATGACGGGGCAGATGCATTTAGAGTATGTTGGGATTGAAGCATCTGTCACTCTGTGCAGCAGATCTGACACATGTAAAAATGGAGTCTGATGGGGAAAATCACTGTACCATATCTGTGAAATAAGTATAATTATGCAGCAGAGGAAAGAGTGACAATTCAGGACCTCACATTTGCTAAAGCCTTTTTGATGAATCAAATGCTGTTCAGATTTCCTTCAGCTTATACCAAAACCACGAATTGAACCCCTCCAACCTCCGGATTCTGAATCTCAAAATTTACTTACTGAAGTATGGTATTTTTTTGGCTTTTTAGACAGCTGTTTTTAGGATTTCTGAGGCACACACAAGCAGGTTGCTTTTGAAACATTTAATTTTAAATGAGCCATCTCCACATTGCCTGCACTGATTTAGTTCTTTCAGTACCTTGCTTATGAAAGAGAACACAGCCTGAATGTAATGTAATAGTGCCTTCGATTCAGTCCACGAATTTGTGCTTGTACATTTGACAGATTTCTCAGAAAAGGCTTTTTTTGTTTGTGTGTTTTAATTTCAGATCTATGCTGCATTAAATATCTTTTTTGGGATGGCGAGTATTGGTTTGCTCACTGTTGTTGCACTTGATCGTTATCTGACAATCTGCAGGCCTGATATAGGTACTGTACTTATGGTAAAGAAATGTTCACTGTTGAACTTCTGTGAAATAAGAGTCTGTTTTCTCAGGAATGACTACATAATTACAGTGCTAGGCATAATTTGAATGTAGGGCATGATCCTACTGTACTTGGTTATCTAGTTGGCATGAATAATACTGCTGGAGACAGTGATTTTTTCACAATTAGGCTCTTATTATATGGATATAAGGAGGAAATTCTTTCCTGTTAGGGTGGTGAGGCACTGGAATGAGTTGCCCAGGGAGGCTGTGAATGCTCAATCCCTGGCAGTGCTCAAGGCCAGGTTGGATGAGGCCTTGGGTGATATGGTTTACTGTGAGGTGTCCCTGCCCATGGCAAATGGGTTGGAACTTGATGATCTTAAGGTCCTTTCCAACCCTAACTGTTCTATGATTCTATGATTCTGTTTATAAGTTGTATTTTCATGATTGTTTGCAGTCTTTGGAGGACAGTATCTATATACAGAAGTACATGAAAAGCCTCCAGCTGTGGGAGGTTTCGAAGCAGGTATTTGCTTCTGCTGTTGTGTTAGCACTGAACTGTGTGTTTTTCTCTTCTCTCTATTACAGCCTTATTGTCACAGTTAATTCCTGCCCCTGCAGTCCTGCGAGTGTGTACTTGAATGCACTGTTGCATAATAAGCTTTTTGACATGGGGTTAGGATCAGGTATTGCCTGTATGATGTGAGTTGGAGTGGATGATGGTATTTAGGTGGTGTTAAAGGTTCAGCAGTATGAAATGGTATACTGCAGTGTTCGGGAGTGTAGGCCTTTGAAAGGATCATTATTCATCTAGTATGTACTTGCTAGAAGCTACTTCTTGTTGCAGTTCAACACTGGAAAGAAGCAATAGATGGTAATGGTTTGTGACTGTATGTGTTTGGCCACAGGGAGAAGAATGACTACCCGTAGCTATGCCACTCTAATCCTTGCTGCTTGGATAAATGCAGTCTTCTGGGCTTCCATGCCTACTGTAGGCTGGGCTAGCTATGCCCCAGATCCGAGTGGAGCAACATGCACAGTAAATTGGAGGAAAAATGATGCGTAAGATTTCCCTTCACCCTTTCTTTTCAATTTGCTTTCTCATTGAAGGCTAAGCTTATTTAATTCACCACCCTCTGAGCATAACTTCTTTCAGAAGTATGAAGTGTAGTTTATAATAATAATTTAAAAAATATGGAAATAATATAGAGCAAGTCTAGAAAAAATACAGGAATTGAGCTATGCTTGAAAACTGCAAGATTTGTAGGTGCTAATAAGAAAATTAAAGCTAAAGAAAGTTTTCCTAATTCTCTAAAAGCTTGTTTTAGAATTTCATAATCTAATCAAAATATCAAAATCTTTAGTAACTTTTACTGAATGGCTATTTGTAAGTTACTGAGTTTTGTTTTTCTGTTTTATCAGGTCCTTTGTTTCCTACACAATGAGTGTAATTGCTGTTAATTTTGTTGTACCCTTAACAGTCATGTTTTACTGTTACTACAATGTTTCCCGGGCAATGAAACAATATGCCAGGAGTAACTGCTTGGAAAGCATCAACATAGATTGGTCTGACCAAGTAGATGTGACAAAGGTATAGTAAATTCGGGCATGTTTTGTTTTAAGCATGTTCTTTAGCATTAAATCTTGGGGCCAAAGGCACATTGCAGCCTTTTAAGCATTTCTGTTTCCTACAGTTCCACTTTTCCTTTTGTACCACATATAACTGAAATTCAGCCTAGGTGAAAACTCTTGGCTTGACTTATAACACCGTATTCTTTACTTTTGGCCTAATACTCTTTCCAGATGAATAGCTACTTTGAAGCCTGGGAACAATCTGAATTTTCCTTGCCTCTACCATTCTGTCACTACATAGAAATATACCTCAGAGGTATCCATCCTAGGAGGACTTTTACTCTTTGTGTCTGTAGAGTCCTTAGGCTTTCTGCTAGGTACATAGGGGTGTCTGGTCTGAAATGGACAGGTCGACTCAGATTTGAACTCACAGCCTAAAAAAAAGTACATTTCCAAGCTTCCAAAATGTGTGATTCTGATCCCTTGTTCTTTTCAGTCTGTTAAGCTTATCTCTTACGTAAACAGTAGCAAATATGAGTTATGGCATAAAATGATATATCCTTCCTGGAAGGTTGACATTCTTTTAACGTATAAAAGTCCTTGAGAAAGCTTGAAGTTCACTAGCTCCTTTGATTTTGTGTAAAGATGTGATTTATAGCTGGACATGATAAGTGAGAGAGAATCAGGCAGACAAGTATGTACCTATGCTTTTGAATTACTTATCAATGCGAACTTAACATTCTTTGGAAAAATTTATCATTGCTAAATTGTGAAAAATAGTACTTTTACCTACAAATAATAATCTGACCATTTTGCTCTTCTGAAAAACTTTCACAATGCTTAAAGCTGAGGATTCAGCTACAAATTTAGGCTCATATTTGTGAAGAAAGCATATTTTTGCTGTTTTGCAGTTGAAGATACCAAGTTATATTTTGGAAAAAAAATAAAAGGATTGAATCTTTGGAGTTTCTTTTTTGGAACTGTACTGCTTGCTTTTTCAACAACTGGCATCCTTAAGCTTCTTCACATTATTATTGATACGTGTTACATTTGTATTTAAATAGGAATCTTCTGTGGAAAGAGTCACTGTTTATTGGTTGTGGTTGTGCTCTAGAAGAGCTCATACAAAGTAGCCATTTACTTCTTGTTTCTCATTTTGTTCATCACAAAAAGACTGACTAAAGCTATAGGTAAACAACACTAGGGAATCCTATACATACAAAGAGCCCTGCAGGTTTGTTTATTTATATAGTGATTCATTTTGTCCTCTTGATTAGTTTGACATTTTCATTCCAGTTTCAGTTACTGGTTCATGTCCCTGAGAAAAAACAGAGAGGTCTGTCCTAGCTGATTCCTCTCCTAACCTTCCACTACCCTCATTTTTTTGCTGTTCATTTCTAGCTGGGGTGTCGAGTCTTCTAGGGTATGAGCCCCACTTGCCCACACTGTTCTCTCTGACAGGCAGGCAGAGAAGATGTAACTGCTCAGATAGCTGCTCAGTGTGATGCTTGAACATGGCTATCATACTTCATTAAATCAACCAGACCCTTCTGGGTTCCATAAGTATATGGACTGAGCCTTTGTATCCAGCAACATCTACTTTCTTTAATTTTACTGTACCACAGTTAAACCTTATTAAACAGTTTTATTTATTAACATCTTTATGGAATATTTGGTTTAGATTTTATTCTCTCTTCATAGTTCTTATTTGTAATAACATCCTAAAGTGACCTGTTATGGTGGTCTTAATTCATGTGTGAAGTCTTCTCTGGCCATTGAAACTTCTGCTGGAGAGATTTAGCATAATAAATAGTGCTGACTGTGAAGGGAGATTGTGCATAATGAAGTCACAGCATGCCAAAATACATGACAGTGTGATGTGCTGATCCCCAAAGTGAGGTTTCATTATGACCTGTCAAAATTTGTCAGGTGTGCTTGCTTACGTGTTGCTATTTGGTTCTGCATAGCTCTGTTTTCACAAATGTGCATATGCCTTTGAGTTTAGGTTATAAGGTCTTTCTCTTCAGGTAATACTGGTTATGAGTCTGTTCCTCTTCTTTTACAGATGTCTGTTGTGATGATTGTAATGTTCTTGGTGGCATGGTCTCCATATTCTATTGTGTGTTTGTGGTCTTCCTTTGGAGACCCAAAGAAAATTTCTCCTGCAATGGCCATCATAGCTCCATTATTTGCAAAATCTTCCACATTTTATAATCCCTGCATTTATGTCGTTGCAAACAAAAAGTAAGTGTTCCTAATTTAATACCACTCTACTTGATGATTTTAGGTAATCATCTAACTATAGCAGGATCATCTGAAAAATATGGCAAACTGTTTAGCAAAGAGGTCAAAAGGTAAACCACTGATGATTTAACAAAGATGACCTTTTGGACAGGAAACCCTAAAAGAAATTGTTTTGCTCATTGTAAGAATATATTAAATTGATAAAGATTTTTGAAAACACATCAACACAGCTTTTGTAAGACAGTTTTGAAAGTCCCTTTGTGGCTTCTCAAAAGGACTTATGGATTTTGGGTTGCATCAGAGGTAAGCCGGCTTTAATAACTGTGGTCAAAATGTGTGGCAGCTTGGTGACGTGAATTCCGTAGATTTCTTTGCTTGATTTGGGATGTGTCATATTCTGACTGATTAAGATGGATTGACAGTTACTGTTAAAGTAAATAAGCTTGGCCTATTCATCTGTTTTGAATAAGCATATCAAATGCTCTAACCAAGCCAGTGCCTCTGACTGAGAACTTTGTTTTGCAAGGAAGCATTCTTCTTTCTCTACTACCAATCTAGAAGCAGAGCCTGTGATCTCCCCCTAGGTGAACTTACCTGATCTTGCTGAAAAAAAAATCCAATTTTTTTCACCGTTCTGTAAGTTCATCTTTGTCATGACTATACCCTGTCCTGGGATAAGCAAAACCTGCTGTGATGCCTGTTGTAGAAGAAACTTAACTGAGTTATTCATATACATGGAAGTGAAAAAGCCTCAGGTCCTCTCAAATTCCAAATACACAATTTTTTATGAAGTAAGGTTTACTGAAGTTGAAAACTGTTGTAATACTGAAGGTAGCTTACCCAGTGTTTCTTGGTGTTTGGTTCTACAGCTAATGATCTTTCTGCTTTCTCTTTCTTGCCTTTGCAGGTTTCGGAGGGCAATCTTGGCAATGGTGCGATGCCAGACAAGACAAGAGATAACTATAAACAACGCCTTGCCCATGAGTGTATCACAAAGTGCACTGACATCGTAGAACTCATGCCATTTGCATGCATAAGTTAAATGGAAAGAGTGAAATCTCAGTTAAAGCTAATTAATCTTTTGGAAGATTAATCTTTTGGAATAATTATTTGCCCCAGACAGCTGTTTCTGTTAATCGCAATAATCTGTTTAGATAGGTTAAGAAGGCAAAATGACAAAACCCATTAAGACTTTAGGTTTTGAGAATGCGGTTTATTGGCCCAATTTGTCTGTCCCAAACAAAAAGGGGTAGTGAAGTGATCACTGACTCTTACAGTGTGGACAAGGCGACACAGGGCAAGGAGAACCTGAAGCAGGAAGTGCTTAAATTCAGTAACATGGATTTTGCACCTATAATTCCTTTCATGAATTACTTTTCCTCATCTTCCCTTGAAAGTTTTCCAGACTTGAAATATTCTGGATTCTTCCTGTGTGAATATATTTCTATAGCAGGTGTCCATGGTGGTATGCTTTGCAGAGTTCTGTTTCTGTGAATATGTTAGCAAAATATCTAGCCAAACCCAATAGAACCTGTTACCAGCTTTTAGGATTTTTAAGGAGTTTTTTGATATTTTAATGTATTTTTAAAGTTTTTGCTCACGCAACCAAATGAATTTGTAGGAAAGACAGCTTTTGTTTTAGCAATAGTAATAGCAACTATTTAGTAATAGTGCTTGTGACTGCACAGCAAATCCTGAAAATGAGACAAACTGTACCCTCAATCTTGACATGGGGGAGGCATATAAAACTGAATAAATATTTATAGTCATTTCTCACAATTTCTAAGTCAATCTCATGGTCATATAGGTCTGTTGTGTAGTTTTCAAAAAATACCTTTGGTGAGGTGATTTATTCAGGATGGAAAAGATGACTGCGTATACATCTATTTATGAATGCTGGTATATGCACTCTTGATGATACTCAGAATTTTAGAATAAATATCTTCTGTTATCACATATGCATGAATAGGAGGTTTGCCTTTGCAGTGTGTAACTTATTCACATGGGTGGGTTATTTTGTTTTTGTCAAAAGAAGCCTGTTTTTACAGGATTTTTTATGAACTCTGGAATCTATCTCTGGCTTCCTATTAATTTGTAATTTTCAGTATTAAAGAAAATGCCATGCAATAACCTCATGCTGTACTAGATTTCCTTCAGGAACCTTGGAACATTTTGTGGACAGTAACTAATGCCTTGCCTCTTAGAAGGAGCAAAGAAGCATTTTATTACATGCTAACTTTGCAAGCTATATATTAAAATAGCCTTGAAACATGCTGGATATGACTGGAAACAGTGTGTTGTTCTGACAGAATAAAGAATGAACTGGCTTAACTGATCCATTTCAGGATACATTTGAAGGTTAAGCAACTACAGATCTCAGTTAATCTGATGTAATCTGCTGTTACTAAATGGATGTCTGCATTCACATTCGTAGCACACTGCACATGAGTGCCTAGGAATGAAGTTTTAATTTTTTCCATATCAGTTCTGCTGGGGGGAAGTCATGCATCTATTTGTTTATTTCTATCTCTTAATGACCTTTCTTGAAGAATTGCATGGTTTTTGTCCTTCACAATGCACTTGCGTTTACCATGGCAGAAGCGATGGCACTGGAGCAAGGTATACATTTTATTCTTTGTCATACAAGGCAATTTATAAGGAAAAGGGATGAAGAAGTTGGAAATAACATTTGCATACATTGCAAATTGGTTCTAGCGTAGTTGAAGTAAAGGCATCTTTTATGCTGGTGTTGTACAGCTAGAAGCATTCCTGAACAGGAACAGATGGTGATTATGGCTCTGTACTTCACAAATAGCTACTTTAAATCTTCAGGTTTTGCAGAAGGCAATTTCTTTCTGCTCCATGATTTTCCTACTATTGTAATGTCCTTTCTATTTTCAGAAAATAATTGTCTACTGTAAGGTAATTCTGGTTTAAATAAATACACTAGTTTCTTCTTTTTTAATCTACAGGAAAATCATATGATTTTTTGGTACTGTACAGGTTAATTTGAAATTTGATGATCTGGGTATTCTCATATCAATTTTGGGAGATACAGTTTCTCATTGCTATTTGTCACAATATACCCAGTATAAAGCTGTATGAGGAGAAAATAAAATAAAGGAAAAATATAGAAAAAAGGGGAACAACATTAGATATAGTCTTACTGAGGGGAGGGAAATCTTAAAGCTGGTGAGTGCAAACACTGTATTCCACAGAAATGGAGGCAAACTGATTCTTGAAAATGCTGAGAGATCCCATTTTAATAAAACCAGTGGGAGCAGAAAGTTCTTAGCACCTCTAAAAAGCAGGAAATTTCTATGCAGACAACAGAAAGAAGGCTAGAAAGCTCCCCTTTAGAGAAATACGTTAACGTTTTCATTTTTCAGTCTGTTCTGAAAGGTAAATATAGACAAATACTTCGAATCTTCATCATGCAGAAAAAAATAGAAATTAGTAATCCAAATTTCTGAATTTCAGTAACACAAATGGTATGCAGCTCCCACTTGAGATATGTGCATGTATTATTCCTTATTCAGTGGCTTCTGTTTTTCAGTTGTCAATAGAATAGATGACAGAGGATGGTGCTTATATGCTTTATAATAAAGCAAATTAAACTTCGCATGAAAGGATTTTGTGTTTTGTTTTTTTTATTATATATATATTTAGAAACTCCCTGTTTTTGATTTTTAAATGCAGAGGACTACTCTTGAGCTGACATTCTTTATTCTTCTAGTAGTGTTGCGGAAAGTAATAGTATCTGCATTTAAATCTAAAATGCAAATTTCTAATAAAGAAATGTCAATATCTTTCTCCTTTTTCTCACGTTTTCTCCTTTTTCTTTTTTTTTTTGTGTCTTTTTTCCTGATACTAGGTCTGTACTCTGTAATGATCCTGACATGTACGAGATCCCCGTAAATGTTCCTGTGGATACTGTAAAACTTCGTATAGAGAAGACTGTTATACGAAGGATTCCAACTGAAGCCTTTTACTACCTAGTAGATCTCAAATACCTGTGGGTAACTTACAACTGCGTGGCAAACATTGATATCAGCAGTTTCTATAACTTGAAACAACTGCATGAGCTACGGCTGGATGGTAATCTGCTCTCGACGTTCCCTTGGGAATCACTGGCAGAGATGCCCAACCTACGGACTCTTGATTTACACAATAATAAAGTAACCAGCATTCCTGCTGATGCTGGCCGGTACCTGAAAAACCTCACCTACCTGGACATATCCAGCAACAAGCTAACCACCTTGCCATCAGACTTGATGGACATTTGGCCCCCCTTCTCAGAATCTGTCCTGTCTAAGAGCAGAGACAGTCTAGCGACCCAGAGAGTCATTTTGGGTATGTTAAACAGCTTGTCTCATTCCTTATTAAAATGTACCTAAATGTTAAGTTGAAAGTGGGAGCAGGTAGGGGACCAGCCTGGGATTCGGGAGAGTGGGTTTTATCCGGGTCAGTCCTCTGGCTTGCTCAGTGATTCTTTATTTATTTCTTGTTGGTGGAAAACTATAAAATGATGATAGTGATCTTGATGCATGTTGTTATCTCAAGGTTATAAAATTAAAGTAAAATCTACGAGATTCTGGGCTACCAGAATACAGGCCATATGGAGCGCTCAGTATCCATAGAAATGTAGAACTTCCAGAAACTGTGTTTCGGATGACATTTCCTTCATCACTATATGTGGTGGCAACTGCAAGCATGCCCATTTGCAACTATTTTTTCCAATGGCTCACGAGCCAAGCAAGTACCTAGAGTTGATGCTCATATGAAGCATGTCCTGAGACACAGTGCTACAGACAGTGGCTTAAAAGCAGGTGGCTCTGCTGTTCCCGTGATTCCTGTTGACCTTGCATTGCTTTAAATTAAATCCTCAATTTTTCCCCAATTTTCATGTTAATATGAGAGAGAGAATAGGAATCTGAGCCCTATAACTTCACAGCACTTTCTATAGTATTGAAGGTACTTTTATAGTATTTAAGGTATGTATTTAAGAATAGTTTGGCCAGACTGACCTTTTTCATCCTTTTATTCCATCTCTCCAGTATACCATTACATCAGTTCTGTTTGTGACTTTGTGCTAAGTAACCCCATTCTCTTCTGCGGTCTCAGAACATGGCTGGAAAAGTTCTATCAATAGTGTTCTCTTCTGTCACTGTTTATGCATAAGTGGATGTTTTGATGTTTTTGCAGTGTAGCAGGAGAAAGGGAGGAAAGCCAGCTGTGTCTCTCTACTGGAGCAGTTTTACACCCACTGGTAAAGATCTGCCCAACATTGTACTGCCCAGTATTTCCAGTTTCTTGATCTAATCCCCACTGTTCAATTTTCACTTGTTCAGCTGCTTTGTTTTACAGGAGAATCTGCAATTTAAAACTTTTTTCAGGGGAGACTGTAGAGAAGTAGCTTCACAGATGCAAGTAGGCTGAATGAGTTTCACACATGCATGGTAACTATAGGTTTGCAGCATTAATAGGATCTTCATCTATTCAGGATTAAAAGAAAAAGCTGTAAAAGTGTATCCAACTCAGTACTCTCCCTGCCCCCATACTAAAGGCGGTGAAGTAGGAGCTGACTGTGCTAGATCTAATTCTCCTGATGACCTCATGTGGGAGTCCCTTGTCTTACAAGGCCCTCACTACTTAAAAACCAAAACAGCCAACCAACCAAAAAACCCAAAATACCAAAAAGCTCCAAACCCACACACTCTTTTTTCCTTCCCTTCCCCCTTGACAACCATCTGCAGGCTTTGTTGGTGCAGGTAGTTTGCCAGCCTCCTTTAGTCCTGGCAAACCTTCTTGTGCCAACATTGAGTCCCCTAGAGACTTGAAATGTGATGTTTGGATCATTTTCACTTATGAACTACAGCTGGGTTTGAATACAGATCTCCAGAGGGGTTGAAACAATGCCTTGCTTCTCTTTTTATAATGGTACATGCTGAGGTAGGCTCTGTGAAGTTTTTAAAGATTTGGATCTGAGGATGTAAAATGCCACTTAGTACTTTCATTGTGTTGGGTAAA